GGAGATGTTTCTATTAACTTCACAGGGTTGTGTGAGTCTTAAATGAGATCAGTGTGGTGTGGTGCCTGGCACATAGTAGTTTCTCAGTAAAACACTTTTATCTATTTCTTTTTCAGTTCTTTCAACATAAGAAGCAGGAAAGAGACACATTCAGGTTTAAACAACTTCCAAAGAAAGTTATGGAACCTCCTGTTTGAGGTGTAGTACTTGCATTGGGGTGGGTGGAGAGGAGAGAGCTGTTAAGGGAGTGGGACTCTCTCCTCAGGTGTCTGTTTAATGTTGAAAACAACCACATCTGGCTTTATATTGCGTGGACCTCTGTCCACTTGCCTGGAGCCTAGACAAGGTGTTCCTTTTAGAGATGCTGTTCCAACCAGCAGCCAGGGTTTCAGGGTAACCCATGAAAGCAAGTAGAATCCAGCTCCTCCATCTTATCACCTCACTTAGCCTCTCTGAGATTTGGTTTCTTTACATCTGTAAAATAGGGTTAATACTCATCTCAAAGAGTTAGTGTAGAGTTTATAGTGTTCTCCATAACACTCATCATCCTCTGGCTTATTGTATTTGCTTCTTTACATCTCCTCTATGGAATGCAAGCTCCATGAGGGCAGAAACGTTGTTTTGTCCACTGCTCTTTTCTCAGTGCCAAGAACCATACCTGACACATAGTAGGTGCTTAAAAAATTTGTTGAATAAGGAGGTTAATTCATTCATTATTCACTCAAAATGAATATATTTTGTGGGTTGGGGCTATACTTCACGGGGGGCGGGGGGAACAGAGATAAGTAAGCCATTTTTTGCCTCCAAGGAGATCTCTTCAAGTGGAAGTCATAGGCCAAAGCAAACATTACATTGCAATAAGACTTGATAAGTAGAATGTGTGCCTTCACATTCTAGCACCTTGCCCGATAGAGACACTCCTCTCTGAAGGCCTGTTGAATCTAGACTAGACCAGAAATAGATCCCAAGTTATCCAACCTATGCCCTTCCCAATTTTGGCTTCTGGGAGGGATCAAACATTTCCCTACTGGAGAGGGGAAAGGGGAAGCAGAAAAGGGAGTTTCCTCCTCTCCTGGGCTCTAAGCCAGTCAGCCACAGGCAAAACTTTGAAAAGGCCTAAATTGGTCCTGGATGCACTTCCCTCATCTTAGTCCCACCATCCCCAGGCCCCCACTCTCTTAAGACCCTAGATTCCAGAAGTAAGAAAATAACCCCTCCCCCTTACCACAGTCTGAAGGTTTCTTGCTTGAAATTGCCACTCCTGGCCTAGTTGCTAGGTAAAACAATCCGATTGAATTCGTTCACATACTGTGGGAACTGCTTCCTGAGACATCTGTTTATTTTAAAGGAAAGGGGTATCTTGAAGCATAGGCACCATGGCAACAGGCCTCAAGCGAACTCCCTTGTCTGTGCTTGCCTTTCAGGAAGTCTTCCCTTCCTCAGTTTCCTTAAACAGGCTCAGTTGGGTGGTGGTTGATTTTTTTTTCAACATATAGCCAGTAGTTCATAGGCACGTGTTTCAAAGAAGGCCCAGCCGGAAGTCACTTTCCCTGACCTGGGCTCCATACCTGGGAGTAGACAGTCTTCTACTGTCTAACAAGCTGGGCTTGACGTTTGGTGTAAATACTCTGGTTGATGGGCAGGTGTTTCCCAGCTGAGCCCTTGGGAAGATTCTCCAGTAGCCAAGGGACGCCTCCTCCCCAGAGGCCTGTGGCCTGGACCCCTTTGGCCCAATTCAAATTTAGGGGGCGGCTCCTGCCTGGCGGGGAAGAGGGCTCTGACCTCCACCTCCTGGGCTCCGTCTGTCTGTGAGTCTCTGGGAATGGCCACCTCCTGCTCTTTCTCTTTCTCCTTTTAAGTCTCGGTTTCCCCTCTTCCTGAACTACTTCTCTGCGCCTCAGTCTCCGTCCTTCTGTCTCTGGCTCCGGCATCTGTCTCGGCTCCCGGCCTCCCTCTCCCCGTCTCCGCCCCTCCCCCGCGCTGTCATTCACCCCGCTTCTCTCTGCTCACAGCCAATGGAGAGACCGGGTCGGAACGGCTAGGCTCCCTCGCACCGGGCTTTTTCGCCCGGTGATTGATGTCCCAGAGTCAACAGCGAGCAAGCAGCCGGAGAGGGGAAGGAGCAGCCGGAGAGGAGTAGAACACGGCGCCCCCTCTCTCCTTCCCCTCCCCCCTACTTTAGCCCTTCTGCGTACTTCGCCTCCAAGTCTCGGCGCAGCCAGGAAGCGCTCCTGCTTTCGCGCCCCTGCGCGCTGCACCCAGAGCGAAAAAACAGCG